CAAAATAGGTCTGTACAACTCTGGATGGGTCAGGTGAAGAGGAGGAAAGTGCCTGAAGCTGTTGAATCTCATTCATTACCTGAATTCATGGTTCAATCAGAATTTCCTGGAAAGTCTTATAATATATTGCTGAAAGTCCCTCTGGTTCTGGAGATTATTCAATTTCAATTCTTGTATTGCTTTTTTTCTTTCCTCTTCAGTAATTGGTTTATTAAGCATTTCTTTTGTTCTGTAAATTTTGTGTCTAGATATCTTTTTATCTATTCTGAACTTAATATCTATTTATTATATAATCTGGAATATTTAACAAAATGATGTATTATCTGTTATTGCTGAATATCTGTTGCCATCCTGAATGAAAATAATCATTCTTTCTCTTCTTCTTTTGTAGTTGATAAACCAACAGATTATCTGGTTTATTGCCTTTTTCAAAATATTTCTGTTTGGAAAAATTAATCTTCTTATATCAATTACTTCCACTAAATCCAGTTATTTATGGACTGTTCATCCTTTGTTCTATGTCCAAAAGAAGATTCTGCTCAAGTTGCTCCAAACTGCTTCAGTTCTAATTGCTTCCATTTTTCAACATGTTGATTAGTTTTGTATGGCTTTCTTCTATATGATGCTAAAGAAAAGAACAATCATATAATAAATGCTTTGCTTGAAACCCATTCTGGCAATAAAGAGATAGCGGGAATTAATTAAGTTTGGAAGAAGCTTCTTGGTTGACACTTAAGTTTATTATCTTCTTGTAGTAATAATAAATTGTTAAGTTTCCACTTTTTTGGTCTGAAGATTCCTCTGTGTATTCTTAAAATTGTTGGATTATGGTTTGCATAGATGAGAGGTGCAACTCACACATTTATAGGCTTGGATAAGGATGATATGGAAATCCAACACATAACTCTGAGTAAGTTTTGTGAAGAGATGAATAATAAGTATATTTATTTTCTAGAGGCAATTGTATTGTCATTCATCTGTAAGAGAAAGTAATGACATGTAGTCTAGAACATTTTTGGAAGCTTAGAAGAAGTCCCTTTAGATGGTCCATATTTGTCTAAATTCAGGGAAAACCACCTGTTCATATCTCCACCAATTAAAACATTTCCCTTGCAATTTCAAGAAGTAATTGGATTTTTTTTGAGTGGCAGGAGAAAAGTTGATTTTATTATCATTTGGAGTATAGACTGAAGCAATTGTCTTTGCTTGTTCAATCTGGAAACATCTTTTTCTTTCTGAATGGACAGTTAAGGCTGTTAATACTCGTTGAAAATATTTTTATATGATCCATGAGCCTGTTAATAGATTAACTGATGAAGAAAGAACAGCTGTTTGATCGATTTTTGATGTTCTATCCTCAATCTTTTAAGACTTGCTCTGTGACTGCTAGTGACTTGAGCATTCTATTAGCATCCTTAATGTATGAAAACTTTGCTGCCATCCAAAAAGAACTCCAAATGGAATGGTATATTTCATCTATATCTAATATTTTTTTCTTGAGGAGCAGATGTTAAAAATCTAATATCTCTTCTCTTTCTAAGTATATCTGGCAGGACATCTGGAAGAATCTCAATTACTATATTACCAGGTTTTATGAGATATGATAACAGAGTTATTGTAAATATAATTATTTAATCACCCATTAAGATGCTCTGCGGAACTTGTCAAAGATAACAATGATTTCTTATATAGTCATTTTGATATTGGAACAATTGATCTATACACAAAGGATATTTTGGACATAAAGATAGCTAGAATTTAACTTGTTATTATATGCTGATGATAATTTGTGTGTCTTTTTAAAATAATTACCAGTGTTTTTTTACCAAGATATATGAATATAGTACAAAATTAATTGAAATAAATCTTATATAGTATGTGAAAATATATACTGAATATATTCTGGAAATATAAGTATCGATGGAAATTTGTAAAGAATGTGGTTGGCTAAGATTTCTTTGTAGAAATAAATATTTGAAATAGTTTATCCCGGATTAGTACTGATAAACATTTATGGTTAAAAATTCCCATGCATATGTGGGAAAGAATAAGTGTTATCAAAATGCATATAACTTCAGGTTACTCACATACAGACACAGTTAGAGGTATCTCCATGTTAATATCTGTCAGATATTTTTGACACACAGATAAGGTATGGACAAAGTCTAAATTTGGGATGGGTAGAATAGTCTTATGAAGAATAGTCTTCAGTTTTCCTGACTTTCAACTTCTATTTTTGAGTCTATATACTTTTAAATCTGACCTTTATTCTCATAAAAAGTTATTTTGAAATAATCCTAGTTAGAAAATTGTCTGTAAATCTTTATTTTCTAGTTCTTGGATTAAATAAATAAATAGGAATGAATACTTTAAATGAGCTCACTGTGTCTTTAAAATTATTTGATGCATCACAACAAAACTTGGAATGATTAAATGACTGACTATAAATTAAAATATCTTTGAACTATACTATTTGGACCTGATGCATTGCTGTTGTCTGAATTCCTAAAATATTATTAATATTAAAAAGTATTTTGGATTATTCTAACTATACAGTTCATTTTAAAGACAATGAAATAATATTAAGATTTGTAATAAAATAAACAAATATTGCTAATTCTTTGAAATAAGGAATTGGAATGTGCCATACTGCCAAATCAACAGAATAGGAAGAATGTTCCTATGGCCTTCTTTTTCTTTTTTTAAAGCTTTATTTATTTCATAAAACAGAACAGAGATTAAAAAAAGAAAGAGAGAGAGAAAGAGAAAGAGAAAGAGATGCAATAGAATAACAGCACATAATGCAATAGAATAACAGCACATACAAGGGCTTTTTTCATATATAGATAAATAGATAAGATATGAAATGTTATATAACAATTTCAATAAAAGATGGGCATATTTCATTGTAATTTTCTATACTGCAATCCAGAGTTAATTGGGGCAATATATTTACCTTTCCAATGTTGAACAACTACTTTGTTGGCAATAATCAGGACATGAAGAATCAATTTCTGTTGTTCAACTGTCAATTTCAATGTAGTAGATAGTTCAAAAGAATGTGTGGAATCCAAAAATATTAAATTTTGTCTCAGCCAAATCATTAATATACAGTATATAATTATTTCTTCCCAGAACATAATACATTTAGGGCATTGCAAAAGTTTATGTTCTAATGATGGTTAATTTAATCTTGTTCCGGTTACATTTTCAGTACAGTAACAGAATGATTTATTCATTCCTTTTCTGTACAAATGCAATATGATCCAATAAGTCCAAAATACTACTTTTGGTGTATAAACCAAAAATCTTTAAAATGTGCATATCAAATAACAGATAAAGACTTATTGCGGACGTCTGGTCTCATAGGATTTAGTGATCTTTTCTTATGATTTGGGTGTCTATAAGGCTGAAAATGCCACTGGTCCAAACTGAGATGTCAATAAATACTGTAATTGTAAATACTGCCACAGGGTGGCAATTCACAAATGGTATTTGTCTTTTCACATAAAAAATGATAAAAACACAATTATCATCCACTAGCTGATCTAATATAAAAATTCCAGCACCCATCCAGATCATTCATAAAATAATTGTTTAAATCAGTTTGGAGATCTGGATTACTCCATAGTAACAATTTAGCATAAGAAAAAGGATCAAAACACATTTTTCCAGAAATAATATGCCCTAAATAATAATAACTTGAGATATAGCAAATTGATTATATTTTGAACCCCAAACAGTCTGATTAAATAAATATGTTATATACAAATAATTCAGAAGGGCCAAAGATGGAGACTTTGCACTAAGTGAGGATGTCTAGAATCTGGTACTAGTCAAAAGGAATGCATAATGGTAAAATTCAAGATTTGGGGGGGGGGGAACCCTCTCACCTTTAGTTAACAGCTGTATATTTTCCAAAGGAGCATTCAGAATTGAAGAAGTCCATAGATATTTACAAAACAGCATATTAACTTTCTGAAAATATTTTCCAGATATTTATATAGGAATTCTATGCAAAATATAAAGTATCCTGGGAATTACATTAATTTAAGAGTGTTTATCCTAACCTAAAGGGTCACGTTTAATCACTCCCATTTATCAGTGTCTAGAGAAATCTATTTATATACCTTATTCATATTCAGTGTAATTATTTGAGAAATACTGTTTAGGATAAGAATACCTAAATATATGATAAATTCAATTTATCCTATAATCCTAAATTGTTGTTTTTTTAATGCCTTTGAGTCCATTTTTGGCTCCTGGTGACTACCTGAATTAGTCTACCTTTCTTGGCAAGGTTTTTTGGAAGTGGTTTGCCACTGCCTGCTTCCTAGGGCTGAGAGAGAGGGATTGGCCAAAGGTCACCCAGCTGGCTTTGTGCCTAAGGTGGGACTGGAACTCATACTCTTCCAGTTTCTAGCCTGACGTCTTAACCACTACACCCAACTGGCTCTCTTAGGATATGCCTAATTGAACATAAGATCCTCAGAGAATGTTTTAAAAGGTTAGTTGTGTACTGCAGTGCACTAGTGATAGTGGAAAATATTCTGCTTCCTATGATTTGGGAATGTTCTATATCTGTTGAATTTTGGCTTTTCATTCATAAGTTTGTTAATAGTTTTGGGAAAGGAAGTAAGGTTTAAAGAAGCGAATGTAATGTTGACCTATTCATGAAGAACTTGGATTTTTGCAGGTCTGTATTGTTATGATGGAAAAATATTGTTATTCTGGACTTAAGATGTTGGATTGAAAATGTGTGTTCACTCTCTACCTATGAACTGGCTGTTTATCAGTGTACACATTAAATAAGGTATAAAAATTTACATATAAGTTATTATATTCTTAAATATTACATGTTTCATTATGTATATTTTTCCTTTCATTATCTGTCTTCTGTATTTAAACTCTGTCATCTCTCCCTCCCTCTCTCTCTGTACATCATACATATACTCATGCATTATTTTTTAAAGGATATTTGATGAATTAGACATACATACCTTGTCATCATCTTCACAAGTCATCACATTGGAGAAGGGAATTTCAGCTTTAAACATTTTGCGACAGTGCATCAGCTGAACTAAGAGGTAACAAACAGTCTTGAACTTCATTCTTTTGGCAGGCTTTATGTCAGAGAGAATAAGCCCTGGAAATATCTGGAAAGATAATGTATATAAAGGCATGTTTAATTTTTTTTTATAAATGTATTATTTAAGAAGTCCAAAATGCATGGAAATCCATCATATACTATCATAATATAAGCTGTGATCTATCACAGAGGAGCCCTTGACAGCATTATATGTATGTCCAATTTAATCCTAACAGCAGCTCAGTTTAGATAATAACTGATCCAATAAGAATATTAATAATAATATAAATTAAATTATTAATAATATAATTTAAACTAGTAACGATAACAATAAAATGAGATAATAACTGGTCCAATAGTATTCACTAAGTTCTGTGGCTAACTGGAGAACTGAACCCAAATTAGTGATCATCAGGAATCAGAAGTATTATTCACAGACTGAAAGGAGTCATTCACTCCCACCAACTTTTACAGAAAAATACAAAATTGACTATAAAATCAATAATAGCAATTATGTCACTAAAGCCCCATATGAACCACAAAGTATAGTATAAATACATTTGTAATAACCTATCATATGTATATTCTGAATTGCTTAATATATCCAAGACCATGTTTTGCTGTGTTCACTAAACCTTGCCCTTTCCTCTGAAATCTAATCCCACATACAGAATCACGGTACCAGAGTTTGGAACACAATACAGCTCTCAACAAATTCAGATAAATTGCCTCTCTAACAGCTTTATAATCTCCTTGGACCAAATCTGAAGTTATAGGCTTTTTTTTTTTTTAGGCAATACACTGCACAGAGACATTTCCTCCTTTACTTTGCAGCTTGTTGTCCCAATGAAAATATATTGTGAAACTATCATTAGTTCTGAATAGGGGAAAGTTCCTATTTGTTGAGGTGGAAAGGACCCTTTTTATAGCTTTCTCACTATAATCTTCTTGCTCTATACTTTCTCATGAGAAACCAGACATAAGTGTTTATTCTTATAAGCACTTGAATTACTTGCATCATCATCATTATGATTTATTTAATTATTTGGTGCCTTTGAGTCAGTTCATGCTGTAATAGAACTATTCCTATTCAAAGAGGAAATATTTCTGCACAAACAATTTCAATTAACTATAAAATCCAATTATCCATTTGAATCCATTAGCTAAAACATTACCATTTGAGGTATTCCCTAACAGTGCTAACTTTCTGCATACGGATGGGATCAGGGCCAGGTTATGGAAATACATACATACATACATACATGCTGTAAAGGACATATTTGATTCTATCTATCTATCTACCTACCTAGCTACCTACCTACTCACACACAAACCCACACACACACTCTCCATAACCTGTTCTTGTAACTTTCCTGCAGATAGGACACGAAATCTAGTTTCCTAATTCTAGCATCACTGAAGTAAAGTTATAAAATTTATATAAATGTATAATGTGTCTTTGATTGCACATTCCTCAACATATAAACTCCACTAAATATTGCCAGGTCAGTGGGTATTCAATTGCATGCACTTTGTCTGAAATATACTTAACTTTCCAGCCCCATACCTCCAGGAACAAGTTTGGAACTGAAATATCTGTTATGGTAGATGACAAAACAATGATCATGATGGGATACCCATCACAGTTTCTAGTGTAATTTGCTATTAGTGGTTTTGAACAGATTACACATTACTGAATGCTGGACATTTAGCTCAAACGTCAAATACACCAACTGTTCTTTAGGGCACTTGCAAATCATCTATTTTCTATATATTTATATAATGTCAATATATATGTGTGTGGCTGTGTGTATGAGACAGAGACAAGAATGCTTCAAAAAATGCCATAAATATATTTAACACCCCCCCCCGATATATGTAAAATCAACTGCATTCATCATTCATCATTTAGCAGTATTAAATTCTGTAGTTCAGACTGTCTAGGGACTTGTATATAAAAGCAAATCTTCCACTGTCTTTTTATTACATTGCTGAAAGGGCAGAAAAACCTGTACAGGGAAGATGAAAACCATAAAGGATAATCTTTTCACTTTAGCTACTCTGGTTCTTGTTCTGGGCACAACTGTCTATAACATAGAAATTTATGAAATAAAACTTTTTTTTTCTTTTAACCATGCTCATATCACAGGTTGTAGGGTCACCAATAGGGATGCCCTTTACTCTATTCTATTTTTTTTAATGTCCTAATTATCAGTAATCCAGAATTATATTTCTGTATTTCTGATCTTAGCTCTTGTCCTATTTTAACTCTCAGCCATGCCATAAAAACTAAAAAAGAAAAAAGAAAGAAAAAGAGTAATTAAAGACAGGTATGATCACAGGGAGACAGGATGATCCATGATACATACCTACTATTGTTTTCTCCCTATTTGCAGACTGCTCCTGTTCAGTCATCAAAACGAATGAAAAATGTTACTGTTCCCAGAACTCAGGATTCATACAATCCTGTTATAACATTGTGAGGAGATGCAAAAGATGACAAACTAGTTTTCCAAATGTTCAGAACTTGTGCAAAAAAAGAAATTTAGTAGGTACAGCTTTTCTCACTTCAGTAGCACCTTGACAAGAAAAACTGCACCTGCTACAATCCCATTTTAGACACAGATGTTTAACATACAAAGCTCTTTTATTATGCCAGACAACTGGTTTACTTATATTAGTATCTTCTTTTTCATTAGCAGCAGTTCCCAAAAGCTCCAGGTTGAGGCCTTGTTCAGATTTGGCCTGAACCACAAGCAAAGCATGAAAAATATCTAGTACCATGTCTGAATAAAATGATCTGGGTATTTATTATTCCATTTTTTTCTAAAACTGTATTGCTCCTAAAATTAAAGCTTTATTTTACCTTCATGGACTTTGACACACATGAAGTCTGGGAGTACTTACACCAGCAGACCACATATGGTGCAGATTATTTGAGATCTGACTGAGATACAGCAAATTGTGCAAATGTGTCACAGTGGCTCACAAAAGATCTTCCAGTCCTTCTTTATCTACCAAGGACTGGCAAACTTAATGCGACTGCTAGTCAACAACACATTAATTCAGTAAGGGTGCAGAAATATGAATGCTTTGCCACTCTTATCATAACAGTATGGGCTTATACACGAGCTCAGTCATGTTTACTCTTCATCTTCCTCCACTGGTGTTACAGGTATTGCTTTTGTTGCTTCATCTCTGGAAGCTCCTGAGCCAAAGGACCCTTGAGACTGGCAAACAAAGGCCACTCTGGCGCTACACTGGCTCCAACACTTGGCCAGGCTCCTATCAGAACTGCTTGTCTGCAAGATTGCTGAGAAAATGCCTAAGCATCTTATGGAATTCATTGGATCAATAAGGCACATATAAGGAAGGACTATTTTAATCAACCCTCCCATCCTGCAGAGATGTGGGGAATCTCATATGAACCTGGAAGTGATCTGACCACAGCAAAGGACTCAAGGCAGTGTCCTTCATCTTCCGATCACATAAACGCTTTTCTGAAGAAAAACAAGATCTACTGTGTGTCCATTTGTGAGTCGGGCCCAGGATCAATGGGCTGCCATGGAGGCCAGGAACGCCTGAGTCTTTCCAAGCCTTTGCCCCTTCTATAGTGCCAGTTACAGATCTCTTTAATTACACTTCATGTGTGAATTGTCAGTTTGCACTATGCAATTTCTAATGTCACAATGCATTGGGTAAAATCCATCAGATGTATATGTAGGAAGTGACTGTTATTGAATTGAGGACCTACTGAATTTTTGCTCAATGAATTATTATAGAAAGTGGAATTTGAAGAAGACACTATGCCTTCTACAGACATTGCAAGCATATATTCTTTAGAGAAAACTCTATCAAGTGAGCTACACCTGAATGCATCCTTCCACAGCTCAGGATTTGCTCTGAAACATTAAAGCAAACTCTCTGTATATGGATCATGATTTGTAATGCAATGATAGGATTTGAGACTAATTTTTTTCACAACGTATGTGGCACAGATTGTAGTTTGCACATCATGTTTCAGTTTTTAAAATATAAGATGGAAATGTACAGTATCAGCATAAATTACATTAAATTAAATTAAAATTACAATTTTAGCTAACTGATGTTGATACAGTTTTTATTAATCTGTTGCATGATGCTATTTTACATTTAATGCTGATTTATTTTGAAGTATATATTTGCTGTATCATAGAAAAATGGAATATAAATGTCCAGATAAATAAATGTGCTCCACCATTACCTTATACCCCTTTTTTTTTTTTTAAAGGCACATATCCTTCCCCCATCTGTCTCTTTTGGCAGGCAACAGAGAGACAGCAGTTTAGAGTACAATCCAATGTCATGATGGTACATTATGTTTAATGTTATGATGGAGGGAACTGGCAGTTATTATTTCAGTTTGCCTAATGTTTGTATTCTGAATACTTAGATGTATCCTTGATTGAGATTTAAGCTGTCATTACTTCACTTTCAGAATGGGCTGATACAGGTTCTTCCTACTTTAGGTTTAATTAAAAAGGTGTTAAAGTACCAGTATCTATCACATTAAACCAGATACAATCAACCCTGATCGCTCTGAAGTGCACACAGATTAGGTTCTGTCTTATGTTGGTTTCTACCAAGAATAATTGCATTTTTTTTTAAATGATCAGAATGGTAATTTGATGTCCACCTCATAAAAGCCCTTCTTGCAATTGCTGATGATTCTAACAAAATAAGATGTGCTACCTCTTTGGAATTTGGATGCTGACAGGGAAATAAAATACTTAGAAGTTATGAATATTTTAGAATCTATCCTTATTTAAAGGTATAAACAATACATGAAAAAGCTTTCATGTGCTATTGCATTTACTCTTGGCTTAATAAGTCTGATAAGATAATGACAGAGCATGCTGTCAGTCCACATTTTGAGAAAGTTGGGTATATTCTTTAAATCCAAAGTATAACTATTTTACCTTTGAAATGAAACACATTTCTCACTATCTGCTGATGTTAACACTGATTTTCCTCTTGATGTCTTGCTGAAGCTAAATCTTACTACATCAAAAAGAACAATGCAGAGAGAATACAGAAATGTTACATATTTCAGGTTTTGGCCCTTGCGGGGAAGTAATATAATAATAAACTAGCACAAAATGCTAATGTGCAAACTAAGACTCTTGCATCTGGACCAAGATAAACAAAGAACAATTCCATTTTCAATCTTCAATACGCCCCCCCCCCACACACACACACAAATGCCCCTTGGGTTTTTAGAACTCCCATCTTAGTCAGTGCCCAAAGGGGATGGGATAGTACTGTAAAAACACATTTCTTTGGGAAGTTGTGATGATATAGCAATCCATATGTAAGTGCACAATAGGCATGAAAAGCTTTGATAAGTTAGAATGCACCAGCAAGTGACACAGTGACTGATCTACAGGCCCAAGGGAAAAGTCAGTTGATATACCAGTGAAGCATTTTTCCTGCCAGCTTGGCAGACACTCCACTGATGCATACCAGAGATCTAATGCTGTTAGCCAAGCTGTACAGGAACATCTGTCACTTTGATAGATCAATTACTGACACAGTAACAGGGAAGCTGCTGTTTGCTTTTATGCAAAGATGAGATGGTAACAGCAGCTCCCTGATGCATGGGGCATGCATTCCTTACAATTCAGTAAAAGTATAAGCATAGTGATTATACCTTATTTTACTTATGTACAAATCAATACAAGCTTTGACAATAAATAGATACAGACTTTTATAAGATAATTTATTTGAGTCACAAATTTATATGGTTTTACTTTTATCCACTCATTTCAAACAGAATGGGCTACCATTTTTTCAATTACATTTCTCCTTTTAAGGAATTTGTTATTTACTTCTAAAGCCATAATAATAATTATAATGGCTGTATCATCTATCTATCTATCTATCTATCTATCTATCTATCTGTCTGTCTGTCTGTCTGTCTGTCTGTCTGTCTGTCTATCTCAACAATATATATTTACCCACCTAAATTTTTATTAAGCTCTCTATTTATAGATATTTTTTCAAATATTTTAGCCTAAATATTTTAAATATTTTTGGCCTAAAAGGAAAAAAAAAGGAAACAACTAAAATATTTTACAGGGGAGAATCCTCAAGGAGGAATGGTGCAGGCCTTAGATTTTCCAGAATTCCCTATTTCTCTTGCTAATGGTTCCCTTATTTTTCCTTGCTAGTCTCTAACATCAGAAATGATAGCAGTTGAAGGAAAATATTATAGGGTCAGCTTCTAAGCTATGAATACAAGGTTGACAAGAGAGCTAAGTTAATTTAGCTCGTTCCCTTCATTAAAATTATCTCCACTGACATTTTAAAATATTTCACAGAATAACATAATTTGTCTTCAATCATAAAGTTTGTCCTCCTGTAGAGCAGTTTATTACAAAAAAGCACTATATAATAATGATACACATTAGGTTCTACATATAAAATGAGATCCTATAGTGAAGCTGATACCACCAACCAAGTATCCATGGCTATGGAAATGCAATAAATTGGCTTCACTATATAGAGTAAAGAAGTGACTTTATGAGTTGGTTTTTATGTTGCAACTGCCAGGAATCCAATATAGAATCTTAGGAAGGTCCAATGTTTTTCCCCATTGTTTCATCTTCTTTCATACTAGAAAGAAGGTGTATTAAGACAGGAGCAATACTTCTTTTGAAGTGATAGTGATAGTGATAGAACCTGTCTCTCTGGAAGCATTTCAAGTTGTTGTTGTTGTTGTTTAGTCGTTAAGTCGTGTCCGACTCTTCGTGACCCCATGAA